CTCTATTCTCCAAGTTCACTTCAGCTTTGAGGAACAGGGGTGGAAACAGGGAGAGGCTGGTGGACTTTGGTGAATATCTATAAGCAGTAAAAAATACAGTGAGAATTTAAGATTTGACTCTTGCTATTTAAATTCTTTAAGCCCCGATCTTTGTAGCTTGTCATTCCTGACTCTGTCACTTTTGAGGAACGAATGGACACATTCACACCCCTATTTTTATTTACCTTAGTTTGCTCGAGTAAGAATTCAGGTGTATAATAAAGATACTAAAATGTTTGATTATAAAAGACACTGTAGAAAACAAAAACATTTTTATATCAAAGACATATATTTATCTTAGATCTAAAATTATAAAAAAAAGGAAAAAATAGGCATTTTTATTACATTTATATAACATTTTTATATCAAAGACATTTTTCTATTTTTATTTACCTTAGACATTTTTTGCACATTTTGTTACATCAATGACAATTGTTATACACAAAATAGATGAATACATATGATCTTTCCTATAAGGACCTGTTTGGTTTGGGGTAATCTCACATGAAGGACGGAATGAGACTCCTGCAACGTTAGATATCAATGTTTTGTTCTCGGTTTTGAGAAAAAAATCTGAAAAGTTATATTCCTGAGAATGTAATATGAACGGGAATGTTATACCCTTCAATGCCTTAGGTTATTTGATATTCCCAGGGATGATCTATTTTTTTCCGAAAATACCCTCAATTAATTATATCTTTTCATTTAATTTCTCTATGTATTCAACTTTTATCAAATTTGATTTTTTGTGATTCTATAAAACTTTTATTGCAGCTTCTAAATATGTAAATTTTATTTACTAAAAAAAATCATATTATTGATGGGGATTAATTAATTTTAGAGGTTTTTCTTAAATAGTATTGAAATACTACCTCCGTCCCAAAAATTCTTCTCACTTACCTTTTTAGGATGTCCCAAAAAAATCTTCTCATTTCCCTTTTTGGAAAGGTTTTGTATTTACCATTCATTTACCTTTTTCTTACTCAACTACAACCATACATTTCCACTTTATTCCCACTTTCTTAAACTCCGATCCAAGTCAAACTAGAAATGAATTTAAGGGGTTTTGACATGAATATTACTTAACAAAAAGTTAATGGACAAAAAAGTGACCTTTTGTTTTTGTTTCCAAATATATGACTAATAAAACACTACTTCTCTAAACTACCCTTCATAAATCAAGATTGCATCTGGATAATTAAGTGAATTATCTTATGCCGTCAGTTCGTTCGGTGCAAAACTGCAAATGCTTATCCATGCACCGCCTAACATAGTAATCTCCAAATATTGATGTTCTTTTCATTTTAATATTACTTCGTATATCTCAAGAACCATATCTTATTAAGATTTATCATTTTCATTACCCAATTTTAACCATATTATTCATAGAGATGTATTGAAGAGCAAATAAGCAGTTATGATATTGAGGAGTGTCATTCTTTTAGATTCCTCCTCACTTCAACATACGTTTATCCTATTTTAATTTCTTGGATATGGAAACACAAGAGTATAAATATTTAAATTATTACACCAAAAATTGTGTGAAATTTTTCCCAGTTACTACCACTCCAGTGACCACAGTCTCAACTACTATTGTTCCAGTGACCATCGACCCAGTTAATACTGTTTCAGAGACTACCATCTCAGTTACTACTGCTCCAATGACCAACATCCCAGTTACTACCGCTCCGGTGACCATAGTCTCAGTTACTATCACTCCAGTGACCACAGTCCCAGTTACTACCGCTCCAGTGATCACCGCCTTAGTTACTACCGCTCCAGTGACCACCATCCCAGTTACTACCGCTTCACTGACCACCGTCCTAGTTACTATCGCTCCAGTGATCACCGTTTCGTACTGCTCCAGTGATCACCGTCATAGTTTTACCACTCCAGTGACCAATTAACCACCCTCGTAATTATCATCACCACCGATTTGCATGTGATCTTTTTTTTCGATAACCTACCGCATCGATGATCCGCCACTGGTGAAGGTTTCCCAAGTATACACTGTAGTGACCATCACCGCCAAATGACGCCAATGAACGTCATTGTCAAGGTGGTGACCTCCCCAACGACCCAGCAACCAATTCCCCCAAGACCCTCCCTAGCCCCCTCACTAGCACCTTCCCAGTCTGGTGCCCCCATCCCCCAGCCCCTAGCACCCAACCTCTAGCAGACCCCATCCCACGACCCAGCCTAGCCCTTGCACAGTCACATCGCACCACCATACCGTGCCCTCCCAACTACCACCCCCGCCCTAAAGTATATGTAAAAGTGGAGAGACCATCGATCTGGATTCAGCTTTGCTGATGGAGCAACCATCGTCTTCGTTGAAGTCGGATGTTTTCGTCGAAGAAGAGAGCAGCATTGCAAATCGAATAAAAGCTTCGCCGTTTCCGTCTGATCTGAAGAATAGAAGAAACTCGTTGAAGAAAAGCTTCGCCGTTTCCGCGTGAAGAAGAGAAAAAACTCGTGGAAGAAAAGTCGGATGATTTGAAGAAGACAGTGTCATCCTCACTCGTCCATAGAGAAAAAACTTACACGGAAGAGGAAAAGTTGGAGTGATGTGTGTTGGAGAAGGAAGCAGGAAAGCATGTAGAAGAATCGATAGTATTTTGTATGGAGTATATATTTGTTTTAGGAAAAGTTGGAGTGATGTGGTTTTTGTAAGTGTACTCGGATCTGATTTTGCTTTAATTCAAAGTTAATCCAGCTAGTGGTGGGCACAAAAGCCCGTAACCGTTTAACCATACCGAAAAACCGGAAAACCGTTATTTTTTTCGGTTAACCGTACTGATTTTAAATAAATCATGGTACGGTTAACCAACCGCAAAAAAAACGGTACACGGTACGGTTATGGTTTTGAAAATAAGATATGGCCGGTTAACCGCTAACCGGTAATTCAAATAATACATGCTTCGTATGTAACCGGTAAGCTAATTTAAGGTCGTTGGTCGTATATTTCAAAAAACACTACCTGGAATCCTAGATACATATGAAACAACTCACCTACTTTTTATTCTGTAATAATTAATAAGATTAGAACTTCATCAATTCTCAAATAACTTTGATACCGGAGTATTAAATAGAAAGTTCAATATTAATCTTATTAATCTAGCTTAAGTCGTACACAAATATAACGGAGTTTATATTTGCTGGAGTTTGTAATATATGTGACTCTGTCAACTTATTGAATTATATTTATAGTAGAATAGACATTGACTTGACTATGAATAAACTATAAAGTTTAGATAAATGTGATTGATACCTAAATATGGATAAAGTTTTAGAGAAATGGCGGTATTTTAGATTTTAGATACGTCATTATTATAATTTGTAGTATTATAATTATAGTTTGATGGAGTTTGTATTATAGCATCTTGTTAAGTTTGCAGTATTATAATTATATATGTGGTGTATTATTTTGATTCCTGCATTTTTTGGGAAGTTTCTATTCATATTTGATTTTACCGTTAATATTTTGTGGTTTTATGGTTTTTGGTTAACCGCAAAGCGGTTAACCGAAGTTATGGTTAACCGATACTCGGTTAACCGAAGTGATGGTTAACCGATACTCGGTTAAAAAATAGTAACCGGTTTCTCGGTTAACCAAAAGTTGGTTAACCAAAACCCGGTTAACCGACCATGCCCACCCCTAAATCCAGCAATTTGATGCGGACTTATTACCAAAAGTGCTGAAATTGTTCTACGCGCACTCAAGGGCCGGAAATGCTTTTTACTGCCGTGAACAAAATTCTATCGTGTCTCAAAATCAGAATTCCCTAAAGCGTCTCAAAATTACGTTTTCACTTTATTTTATTTCTATTTTAAAAAGGTTTTAATGTAAAACTAGCAATTTACCCCCTAATGGACCTAACCTCGAACTATAGGATTTATACTTCCTCCGGTTCTAAAACAACTTCTCACTTTCTTTTTCGGGAAGTCCCGAAATTAAATTCACATTTCTTCTTATTTCCTTATTTGACAAATTATCTATACCAAAACAGTACGAAACAGTGTCAAACAGAGTCAAAACAGTGGTAAATAATGCGAAACAATGCACCCCACAGTAAAGTTAAATTTATTTTCTTAATCTGTGTGAAGTCAAAGTGTGAAGGTCTTTGAGAAACTGAATGTAAACTTATGAAATGCAAAAGAAATATATCATCTGTGGATGTTCTTTGAGTTTGAAAGGGGACACGGGTAGCGAGGATTTCCAATGATGGCGGGTAGATTATTGCATGCGTTTCTATATTTCAGCACTTCCTTGAATCAAGGTGCAAGGGCATCTCAGAACAAAATATTTAAAGAGGGATACATGATTCGTCTGTGGAGTCATATAACCCGTGTAACATCTCCGTCATCATACGTTTTTTAATGAAAACCTCATAAAAAATGTGTGGTGATTGTGATGCTCACATGGACCGTATGACTCTACAGAAGAGTCATATATCATATATTGGTCTTTAAAACCTCTCGATATGAGAGTGCTATAGTAGTTACTGCAAAACTATTATAATAGTGTAACACTTAAACACGCTAAAAGCATAATTGGAAAATCAATCTAATAACCCTTCATGTTAAATTGGTCACTTTTTGAAAATTGAAGTATTTAATTGAGTGATATTTGAGTAAAAGGATTTCATAAAATTTTTATGTATAAGAGGAGAACCTATCCGCACGAGTAGCTCAGTTGGTTCAGTGGTGGGAAATTCGGAACAATGATCGAGGTTCAAAACCCGCAACGACCGTGTGAAGATTACAACTCTTGCGTGTTGGGCTGGAGCTCTGTTGCGCACAGGTATAAGGTCTACCGTCATCGGACCGACAGAGTCACCCCGACTTACATTCTCCCAAATATCCTATCGGGTCAGGGTGTGGGGGCTACAGGGTGGGAGATTCCACCTTTTGGAACAATGTATAAGTGGAGAACCTATTTGACAATTTATCTTGAATCCTATTAATTTCATTTCTACACGTAAAAGTTGTTCAGTTGTTGTTGTACTATAGTTTTATTATTTTCAAATTGTACAGTTATGTTCTTTTATTCCAACTTTCAGCATTTCCGGTCTTCCGTCATCTGATCCAACAACTGAAAATGAGATTATACTTTCCGGCCACATAAAAAGATTGCAGCCAATTTCAAGCAAAAGCTGAATCGGATCGTCTCCAAAGGTAATTCCATGGCGGCCAGGCACAGAAGGCTTCTCTCTTATCAAAATTCAACCTGCGTTGAAGGTGATGGGTGCTATTACCCAGGCTTCGGAGACTATTTCCCCCCTCTGCCGCCGCCGCCGCCACCGCAATCAAGACCCGGCAAACACTCAATCAGCCTCTCTCAGGACGCAGTCATCGCCGGGGTGGTGGTGGTCAGTTCCATCTTCATCATCAGCTACTACCTAGTCGTCGTGAAGAACTGTTTCGGGTGGATCCGGCGAAGACCCGCCGCTCAGGGGTCGCCGGACGGCGGGAATCAAGAGTTCCTCGACGAGAACCGCGGTCCGATGATCGACCACCCCATCTGGTATATCCGGACGATCGGACTTCAACCCTCGATCATCAATACGATCACGATTTTGAAGTATAAATTTGGGGATGGGTTGATTGAAGGAACAGATTGTTCTGTTTGCCTGAGTGAGTTTCGGGAAGACGAGACTCTCCGGTTACTGCCTAAATGTAACCACGCCTTTCATATCCGTTGTATAGACACGTGGCTAAGATCGCACACGAATTGCCCCCTCTGTCGCGCAGCCGTCGTCTCCACCGCCGTCACGCCTGCCCGGACTCCCAATCCCCCAGGCAGTGCTGGAAGTGAATCGATTCAAGAGCCTGAAATTCCTCACTTGCCGGAAATTCAAGAGAACAGAGAGACAACTGGTGAAGAACAAGCCGACGATCACGAAACGAACCGCGGCGGAGACCGGAAGCGGGACGGAATTGTTGTGGGTAACAGTATAATGAATACAACGAGGTCGTTGTCTCTTGACTCTTCAATTGCGGCGAGGTTTTTGGATGAAAGAGTTGCCCGAGTAGGCGGAGTAGCCTGTCGGAGTAGCCCCGGAAGGAATCCGAGAACTAACGGCGGCGGCGGCGGTGTTGGGTCAATTGCAGCGTGTTTGCACACAAGGCCAGTTTTAATGAAAAAGTCATTCTCATATGGAGGGAGGTCAATGTTTTCCAGACATTGACCGAATAATGAACTGGCTTTCTTGCTGCACATCTGAATTGAATGAGCAGATTGCAGCAGCGGGAGGACGGAAATTGTATAGATGTATTCAATTTGTCCTAATTTAGCCCTGATAATATGGCTTCATGCTTTTAATGTTATGATGATGATGATACAAATGATATACATATTCTCTAGAATGTAAACATGCTTATTTTGTTCTAATCAAATTCATAGTAGGTATAGATTAAGAGGACGTTTGAAATTAATTATGCTTCTGCTTCTTTTTTAAAAGCAGAAACAGAATTAAAATAAGTTTTCAGAATGTGGTCTCCCCTGCTTCTAAACTACTTCTTCTAGGAACATTTTGAAGCACTCAGAAATACTTCTACAGTTTCACCCAAACACTTCAATATTTGTTTCTTCTGTTTCTGCTCCCTGAACGGTCAGAAGTAGATCTAAACACTCCCTAAAATAATTTTGGTATAGAAGAGTCTAGACAGCTCCAGAGAGCCGTTACATAAGCTACACAATAAATTAGAAATATTCGTATTTAATATTATAAATCAATTACAAATCTTTGTGTTTAATATTAGAATTAGTAGCCTACCTTATTAGTCTCCAAAACGGTTGTATAAATAGGATATCATATCCTAGAATGAATCAAGCTTTTCAGCCTCAATCTATTCCTACCCTAAAATGTAATATCGTATCAAAGCCTCCAGAGCTCTAACCAGCCAGTTTTATCACAGGAGCATCTGCCATGGCTACCGAAGAAAATAGAGAAGATTCTCAGGGTAACTCAAACCCACCACTCTCAGTCAACAATCCCCTAACCCCAGATGGCCTTATCATGCTTAACCCTAGTCAGTTCCCAGAAAAATTAGACGGATCCAATTACCTTGTATGGAGAGACCAAGTGATGGACCTTCTGTTCGGTGTTCACCTGGATCAGTACGTTGCTGAAAACACCAATCCCCCTCCAAAAAATGAAGCAGCTAATTTTCTCTGGTGGAACAGACATGACCGTCTGTTGCGACATGCCCTGGTCTCATCTCTCAGCTTGCAAGCCCCTAGTTGGATCTTCCAAGACCTCTGCCTCCGTATGGAAGACCCTGAAGCGTTTATACGGGACTCGGTCAGCCTCAAAAATCCGAAGTCTCAAAGATAAGTTCCACCATATGAAACAAGGCTCGCAACCTGTCAGCGAATACCTTCATCACATTCGCACATTTGTGGATGAACTCGCCATGGCTGGCCGGCCAGTTGACGATGAGGACTTTGCCATTCAAGCCTTGGAAGGTCTTCGTCCCGAATTTGAAGCTATGGAGAATTTCATTTGTCCAGATGAGGTTACGTTTGAGGATCTGCACTCGCTACTCGTTGGATTCGAAGATAAGATGCGGAGGAAAGAAGCCTTGAATTCCACCATCGCCGTCGTTACTGCGAACACAACTGTTGTCGTTGAAGAGAAGAATGAGAGTAGCAGTTCCACAACTATGTTCGTTCGCAGGAGTCCAGATCAACGAGTCTCTATTTTAGGCCCAGGTCCATTAATCCAAGTTCAGAACCTGCCCAATAGGCCCAATATTCAGACTCAAAATTTTGGCAGAAGTCAGAATAGTGGGCAACGCCCCAACAATTTTTACAATTCCCGTCAGCGTGGAAACAGTAATCCTGGGGGCATCAATAATCACGCGGGTGGGCGTACCAATTCTGGGGTTAATACCAGGTCAAATTCGGTTATTATATATCAAATCTGTGGCAAACCAAACCATCTGGAAATTAATTGTTGGCACAGGTTTGAACAACGAAATTACCCCCAAGCCAATACTGCCACACCCAGGAAAAATGGATGGTTACTCGATTCGGGGGCAACTAATCATGTCACCAATAATTTAAATAACCTCACCTTGGCGTCCGATTATACCGGCACAGACTTCCTAATTATTGATAACGGTAAAAGTCTTGCGATTGCACAAGTTGAAAATATGACCCTCCATTCTCTTTCCTTACATAATACTCTTTTTGTGGCTTCTATTCATACTAACTTAATTTCTGTTGCTAAACTATGTCATCGTAATAATTTATGTTGGAACGCCGACATAGGCATATTGTAGAAACATGGATTACTTTACTTCACCATGCTTCTATGCCACTTAAATATTGGTCATATGCCTTTTTAACCGTTGTTTAATTAATTAATAGGCAACCAGAAGCTTCTCTAGGTTTTTGTACTCCATATGAAAAACTTTTTCAAAAATCTCCCAACTACACAAAACTTGATGTTTTCACGTGTGAGTGTTTTCCTTGGCTTCGTCCTTACATGGCCCATAAGTTAGAACCACGGTCCCGACCTCATATTTTCGTTGGCTATTGTGACCAGCAAAGTGCTTATCGTTGCCTTGATCCTACTTCTAATAAGATCTTTATCGATCGACATGTGGTGTTCAATGAGTCTGTCTTTCTTTTTTCTAAAAGTCTAACAATTGCTACGAATCTGTCCTCTGAAATTGATAATTGGCTTCAGCCACCTATTTCTTATCTCCCTGTTCCAGGTACATCACTAGCAAAGGCGTCTCCTGTTACCCATACCTCGGCACAACAAGACTCCCCTAATAGGTCTAATTCCACCTCATTTCCACCTCTTACCAATCCAACCGCCTCTCACACCGGTTCTTGTCACTTACCACCACCAACCCAAACAAAAACCAACTACCCCATCCTTGCCAATTATACCCAACACCACTTCCTCAACAGTTATTCCCATTACCAATAGTTCTGTATCTACCTTGGATCACCATCATGATTCACACCCCTCCCCACCCAAACGCACCCACCCAATGACCCTTCGTCCTCATAAGCAAGCTAATGTTGTTACCCACTCATCATTACCTCATCATATTATTCCTACTTGTGCTTCTCAAGCTTTACAGGTACCTGAATGGAGGGAGGCTATGTCTGTGAAATTTGATGCCTTGGTTCAACAAGGAACTTGGGAGCTTGTACTTGCTAATCCTGATCAAGACGTTGTTGGTTGCAAATGGGTCTATACTATGAAATATAAGCTCGATGGATCCTTGAACCGTTTCAAAGCTCGACCGGTGGGTGAGGGCTTTCATCAACGCCCAGGGATTGATTACTCTGAGATCTTTAGCCCAGTTATCAAACCAGTTACTATTCGCGTTGTTCTAACCATTGTTCTTTCTCATGGCTGGCAGATCAACCAGCTAGATGTCAATAATGCATTTCTACATGGAGCTCTCCAAGAGGAAGTTTACATGAAACAACCTCCTGGTTTCAATGATGGCTTCAGGAGAGTATGTCGCCTTAAGAAATCCATCTACGGGCTTAAACAAACTCCTCGAGTGCGGTACCAGTCTCTCAGTGAATTTCTTTTATTCATTGGTTTTCATCAATCCGTTTCTGATGCCAGTCTCTTCATATTTTCTTCTCATCCATCTTATATCTATGTGTTAGTATATGTGGATGATATTATTGTCACTGGCTCTACACCAGCCTTAATTCATCAGACTATTGACTTATTGGCACATCAATTCTCCTTTAAGGATTTGGGATCCTTACATTATTTCTTGGGCATCCAGGTCACCCCTACACAAGATGGTCTTTTTCTTGTTCAACACAAGTACATTACAGATTTATTACAGGTACTGAATATGCACGAGGCTAATCCAACATCCACACCTCTAGCATCTTCAACTTCCTTGACTTTGTTTGATAGTTCGGGTTCTTGTGATGCAACTCTCTATCGACAAATCATTGGCTCCCTTCAGTATTTAAAACTCACCAGACCTGACACCGACTTTGCCATCAACAAGCTAGCTCAGTTCATGCACAAACCCAAAGTGAATCATTGGCAACTCATGAAACGCCTCTTGCATTATCTTCAAGGAACTGCCTCTCATGGTTTATATTTCCGACAGAGTTCTTCCCTTTCCTTGTGTGCTTATGCTGATGCAGATTGGGCAGGGAATCCTGATGACCGCTCCTCTACCAGCGCCTATGCCATTTTTCTTGGTAAGTCACATATTTAATGGAAATCATCTAAGAAACGAACAATTGCCAAATCCTCTACCGAAGCCGAGTATCGGGCTCTTTTCACGGTTGCATCTGAAACCCTTTGGATTGAGTCATTTCTTCATTAGCTCCGACATTCACCTACTTTCCCTCCGGTTCTTCTATATGATAATAAAGGTGCAACCACTTCTTCCGCCAATCTTGTATTTCATTCCCGCATGAAGCATGTTTCCATTGATTTCCATTTTGTCCGACAATGTGTGCAACATGGTCTTCTTCGGGTCCTTCATATCCCCTCGCATGATCAACTAGCTGACATTCTCACCAAACCCCTTTCACGACAATAGTTTGTTTTTCTACGTGACAAGCCAGGATTCTCAGCACTAATAGAATACCTGGGTTGCGGGGGGCATATAAAGAAGTCTAGACAACTCCAGAGAACCGTTACATAAGCTAAACAATAAATTAGAAATAGTTGTATTTAATATAATAAATCAGTTACAAATCTTTTTATTTAATATTAGAATTAGTATCCTACCTTATTATTCTCCAAAACGGTTGTATAAATAGGATATCATATTCTGGAATGAATCAAGCTTTTCAGCCTCAATCTATTCCTACCCTAAAATCTAATATTTGGAACGTTTAAAATTGATACTATTTGGCAACCACATGAATATATATTGTGTGGTTAAGCTTTTTATTTGGGCAATTATAGGTATTTTTTGTTGGAGACACTATGTTGCTTGAGTGACCAACTGGAGCACATAAAGGTTGGTAGAATAAATTGAAGTTCTTGAGCTTGAATTGCGGTCTTTTACAATCTGTATACTTCGTATTTCTCATTTGGAATGAAATTTACTCTTTCTAACGTGAATTTGTGGCCTCAATTCATCTCGTATAATTACTTTACCACTCATCATTCGAAAGAAATCTTCACTTCAAAGGAGAAAAATTAGAATTTTAAGTTTTTGTGAGCATAAGGATTTGTTTATTACAATTGTGATTTCATAAAGTGAAATTGGATTACCGGTTAAAAGGTTTTAAAGGTTTTAGAATTTCCGGTCTTCTTTCGGCGAGCCATCTTCAGTGTACGGTCCTTAACTTAGTTTTACCGGTTATAAAAATTATTTAGGTCTGCGATAACAGTATAAAAATTATTAGGCGTGCCTCTATCGTATCTTTTGTCTACCACATTTCCATCTTCTTCAAGTTC